GCTTTTGTTAGAATACAATTTAACTGACAAATTTTTTTACTGTTGTCTGAGTACATTTCTACTATATTTGACTTTTGTTTTACTAAAACGTCTTTATAGTAAATATTCTTTCCACTCTACTCTTTTTCCTTATCACAGGGATATTCACCATCTTGTCCTATATTCTAAAACGATTACCCTTAAAGTGGACAGTAAAATTTAACTCAGCAACAGGGACACCAGAATTATTCTCGCTGTGACCATATTATTTGGGTGTTTGTTTGAAAGATGGATAAAGAGGTCCTTGTCAGCTGTACAGCCTGGGTAGAGGGTCTTATGGAATTTATAGAGACACTGTCTCCTCTCCTTGAGACATAGTGCAGCTGATGATTTGTTTGGGGAAGTGCGGGAGCCAAGGTCAAAGGACAGGGCTGCTTCACTCCCTAGACACCATAGATATGAACTGCGTTGTGAGGTAATACTGTCTCCAGAACTATAAAATACATTTACTTGTTTAGGAATTAGCAACCCAATAGACTAAATGATCTGTAGGGGTTTAAAGTGGGACCAAAGGAGATTAGACTTCAGAATATGAGAGGATATCTTGCACTGTTGTTGTATTGATCAACTCTGAATTTCTCCTTGGCCAAGCTTCAATAAAATATTTCAGCGTAAGACATCAAAGGACTCCTGAACACTTACTTAATGATGAGTTGACCATTGATCAGCAGATTTTAAACAACAGACGGTCTTTACAAGAGCATCCTTACTTAAGCAAAACAGCTTAGAATACCATCACAGGGCCATGAACTTGCCTTATCTTACCTGGGTTGATCACCCTCTAAATGTTCTGATTGAGGAAGAGCTCTTATCAACAGTAGCAGAAATAATAAAAGCATTTTGCTTGCAGGTAAAGCCTACTACTGGATTTTAATATGTTCCTTTTACTCTTTCTAGGTTCCACCAGTGATAGCAAATCTCCTTCAACCTCTGAAAAAAAGAGCATTCTTGTTGGCAAGCGGCCTGGCCTTGGAGTGAGTAGCATGCTAAGTCAGTTCAAGAACTACTCGCAGTCCAAGAAGAGTCCCGTTCTCAGCCAGAGGTCGAGTGTGTTTTGCTCTCCAGATGATGAAGACGAGGAAGAAGATACTGATTACTCCAGATTCTTAGGGATGAGAGGTAATTCAAGGCCTGTGTTTCCGGACAACTTGATGGCTCAGTATTTTCAGTGCACCTTCTGCATACTCGGGTAATACAGTTGCCTTGTAACTGGCATTTTGTCATAGGTGCCCTGACAGTAAATGTAATCATAGCCTGCTTAAAGTTTCTCCCCCAGGGGATTCAGACACCAGACTCATTATCGACAAGATGGCCTCGTTTGTTGCAGAGGGGGGACCTGAACTGGAGAGGAAGGCCAAGGAGGATTATAAGGATAATCCTGTTTTCTCGTAAGTTTGAAAGATATTGAACCTGAATTTATTTTACTTATACTGTATTTTTACAAGTTTGTTTTCCACTGCTATAATTGCCTTTCAGATTTTTGTATGATAAGAGCACTTTGGAGTATCTCTACTACAAAAAAAGAGTTGCAGAATTGAGGAAAGATTCAATAAGAACTGAAAATTCATTGGATAATGGTAAGATTGCCTCCTATTACCCTCTTACTTCTCTCTCACAAAATTTCTCTCAGAAATGACAAATGGAATTACATAAGGAATCGACACAATATCGTCAGTAATGTTTCTAGTTAACACAGTATGATCTTACAATGCTATCAAGAGACATTATGATTATTGTTCTAAAAACATTTATAGAATTTGTATACATTCATATTCAAGTCTGTAATCTAAATTCCAAACCCCTTTCTCACAGATATATTACTTTAATGAGTTATTCATAGTCCAGTAGGACCGAATAATTGCGTTCTGTTTAAGTGCTTGTTTATTTACAAAAGAATGCCACAGACAATTAGCGAGTTGTGCCGTTGCAACAGTGTGTGGTTCTAATTGTGTGATACTTAAGGAGGTTTTGTGCAATCAAGTTTTATTTGTGCATTTTTGCTGGCAATATGTTGTATAGTATATGTATAGGTAATAATTAGATTTATCAATATACTCTATTTCTGGGGGGGGTTTCACTTTGAGGGATAGTTCACCTAAAAATGAAAATTCACTCATTATCTACCACTATGCCAGATGAGGGGTGGGTGAAGTGTTTAAGTCAACAAATCCCAGGGGTAAATTGTGTTGCAGCCAAATCCAATACAATTGAAGTTGGTGACAACTTCTTCAAATGTATAAAAACAAGAGGAAAGAAAACATAGAATGCCTCCATACTGCTTCTGTGGTGTCATCCAAGCACCAACATTCAAATTCTACTCGAAAATTGCGTAATTTACACCATATTTTAAGCCCAATGATATCCTCCTGCCTGGAGTCATGTTTACCCGGATTCATTCACTTAGATCAACTGCATTGACATAGATGATTGCCTACTTGTGCACTTATAATGAAATGACAATATTGCATAATCTATAGCAAGTTAATGCAAAAAAGATTGTAAGAGAATGCAAAACATATTGTAATGGAATGCAAAAGTAATCCACAAACAAAATACTAAAGACTTCTTGTTTTCCCTATGTTTTTATAAATCATATTTATTTTTGGTTAGAAAACTGCAGAGTACTACACTTCTGCCATTAACTGGTGAAATACGCTCAGTATAGCTATACTGTATGTGGTGGAACCTCTCTGGGCTTTTTTTGTTCATTTACTACAGTAAAAGCCTCACATCCATACAGTCCACCATTCACCACCCCTGTCCCCTTGCTCCTCCTTCCTCTTCTTATCCCCTATTGGCTCTAGACTGGTGGTGTGTGAGAGCCAGTTGAGTACGATACAGTTGTAGAGTGTGAATTGAGTCCCAGTACTGATAGGCTGCTTAAAGTCTCCCCCCCAGTGGACGCGGAAACCCAGCAAGTGGCTGAGAAGCTAGCCAGATTTGTAGCGGAGGGTGGCCCCGATGTGGAAGCCATTGCTGCAGAGCGCAACCGAGACAACCCCGCCTTCAGGTCAGTCACTGTGTATATGGCTATTTCCTAATCATGACCTGCTACATTTGAATGGGAGATTTTCACCTCACACAATGTCTGCTGTCCTTCTTAAAGCTTTTTATATGATTACCAAAGTCCAGCCTTCCACTACTACAAAGAGAAACTACAGGAGTATCGGGCTGCAACTCCCCGGAACGCTTTACCTCCTT